GGGGGGGGGGGGGGGGCAGGCGCCGGGAGCCATCAATTACTTCAGTTTACCCGACTTTCCTTCAGTTTATCCCAATAGCAGCGTGGTCCAGAGATCGAAGGTGCATAACGCCAAATGCAATTTCACGCTGCGCTAAATGGACCGAGACTCGCGAAAATTGTGTGGACTGGCAATTAAATGGATGGTCACTCGTTTCACGGAAAATTCACGTTAAATTACGGAATTTTATTGCACGTTAATAAATATCTTCGACTGAATGTCAACGACTCAAAATGAACTAGAGACTCGCCTTGTGGGTTCAATGATAATTTACCACGGAAGAAAGGGACTACTTGGAGTCATGTGGATTTACCCACTTTCGTCGCGCACAAACCCACGGAAGGCGAATCACCGCAATTATTCAATTTCTTGATCAATCGTGCGGTTAGATTTTCATTTTATAACGCTTCGGTGTCCATCCGCGCGAAGTGGTCACGTGTCCCCGAGACATATTTACATCTAAACTTCGTCGGATCGTCGATCAGTTATTTACGTGAAGCTTAGTACATTTGTCAACTTGGATTCCCATGCTCAGACTCTTTACGGATTATTCGAGGTGGCACTGAAGTTTGTATTTTGTAGCATCCGAATTGACGGACTTTTTGTAAAGTTTCAAGTAATTGCATGCTACGTAAGAAGAGAGGATCTAGGCAACTTTAAAGGACCAAGGCACGTGCGGCAACTGGCCGATTGTTCCGTCATGCCACAGTTCACACGATGTTTTCTTGCATTTCTTCAGCTTCCTCGACTTTCCATCGCTCCTTCACTCTGACCTGTTTACATTGCTTAGTTCATAAGATTTTGGATCCCGGTGTGTCCTCCCCAGGTAAATAACTTCGAAAAGCACTTCTTCATTTTAACGATTTAATCTTTTCAAGAAAAAAAAAAAAAAAAACAATATGGATCCAATTAATTTGTTTTCCTAAACTCGAGTGGTGCTGTTCAATAAACATATCGGTATCGTTCAGGAAAATTATTATTGCTTGATACATTGCTCATTGTAATTAAGTTAAATGAAATTTTTTTAAGATTTTCATTACACTCGGGACCACTTCGGTATTGAACTTAAAATTTAAAAAATCGATCAACCCATACTAAAGTATTGACAAATTATTTTCTAACTTGGAAATTTCTTTCTATTTCGTAACTTTTATCTGGATGAATTGAAGTTATGTCTATGTTGGGTCTAATGGTCGGTTTCCCCGAAGCACTGGATTTCTTCTGGCCAATTATCCGTAGCGATACAAATAGCCGTGCAGACAGTTTGACCTAAAAAAAGTTGAGGCATGAATCCGAAAGATTTTGGGACCGGCTGTCTTGAGAAATCGATTCTCGTTTCGTTAACTCGCGATCTGGTTCATCGAATCGGCCTCCTTAATACCAGCAGATTCTATTCTTCCTTTGTTTTAGATTATCGTACCCAAGTCTTATCCACTGAGTGTTCGTAATTCAAAAATACATCAAATATCCATTAAGGTCACATAATTGGTGTTGACTATCATTCTGCCCTTCCTAACGAATCAATAGGCCTCCGGGTATAGTGCTTCATAAAAAGAAATCATTAACCGTCGCTCTTAGTCGATCCTGCGTTAATTCTGCGTCTTCCGATCTTCTACATATTCGTGGTAATTCGATTCGCCTGTTTTCGTTGGTACTACCGATGAACCAGTTAGTCGCTACTGTATTATATAACTGGCACTTAAAGAGCGACTTTTTGCGAAAGGCACGTCTTACTAAAGCGACTTGGCATTACTTGTTTTTAGGCTGAATTTGTGGAACAGTAGGGAGTGAAATCACCGGATGTAGGTAGATGGTAGGTGAATGTTCAGAAAAAAGATTGCATTACGAAACCACGAAAACGGCAATAATACCTTTAAGATTTTTGGGACGATTCTAATGTGTCGTGGAATATTTAGTGTGCTACATCAATAATGCCGATAACGTGTATCCCTAAATTGTTACCGACCGACGATAAAAGTCCAATTTAGATAACAGGGAGCTGATAACCAGGGGAATGTCAATAGCGGACATATTCGATTGTGTCCGGGAGTATTCAGTGGCATTCGGAAAGCGCGAACTTCATATTTAGTGGAAATTGCAGGCATATTTGAAATTCGAAATTCAAGAATTCCCTTTCTCGAAGTCAAGCTGTCAGTCAAGAGTCAAGAGTTTAAAGATTTGTTTTAAATTTATATTAATGTGAACTTATAATAACTCATAATATCGATATAAAAACCTAATCCTTTTTTCTTTTTTTTTATGCAATAATTATACAATTTTTATGGGAAATTTATAGTTTTGTGAATTTATTAAAAAGCATTGAACTTATTTATCGGTCCCCTGTTAAAGCTCGTCTTTGGAAAGCCACTCTTGTTTAATCAAGTCGGATCCCTTTTCAGCAATCATGATAACAGGAGCGTGCGTATTCCCACTGGTGATCACAGGCATAACCGACGCATCGATAACCCTTAACCTTTGGACGCCGTGAACTTTGAGTCGTGGGTCGACGACAGCCCGTGGGTCACCCTTGGGTCCCATCCTGGCGGTTCCCACGGCGTGAAAGACAGTCCCGGCCACGTGACTTAGACTGCACTTCCAATATTCCCGAGAATCCGGTACCGTGTCGGAACATCCGGGAATATCAAAGTGGCGCATCTTGATCGAGAAATCTTTAAAGATCTTGGTCTCGAGGAAAGTCTTGACAAAGTCGACGGACTTCAACATGACTTCCTCGTCCTCAGGGTCCGTGAAGTAGTTGGCGTAGATCTTAACCGGGTCCTTAGGGTCGGCCGACCTGAGTTTAATTTCCCCAAGACTCTTTGGTTTTAGGAGCGTCGAACAAACAAATATGGCGTCGGCCTGGGAAGTCTTCCTGACGAGTTCAGCAGTTATGCCCTCGTCGATATTGAACGCGCGCATGATAGTTTCGACCTTGAAGACTTGACCCTTAGGAAAGTAAGCATGATGGAACTGAAGGTCAGGATACAACGACTGAGGATCCCGAAGGTTGACGAAGCCCAGAAGATCGACGCCTCCGGTAGAAACGAACTCGCCTTTCCGGTGCACCAGGAAGTCGTAAGCATCATCCAGAAGCTTGGTCTGGGTGAACGGTTCCCCGGTATGATTAGTCAATTCCAATTGTATCCCCAGCCAGATCACGTGATCCTGAAGATTCTTCCCGACGGGCAGATCAGCAATAGTGTCGATCTTCATCTCCCGAAGATGATCCCTGGGTCCGATTCCCGAGAGCATGAGGATCTGCGGCGTCGCGACGCTTCCCGCCGACATAATCACTTCTTTGCTAGCTTTCACCAGGATGCTCCTTCCGTTCCTCAACGTTACGTGGACGCCGCTCGCCCGGTCTCCCTCCATCGCGATCCCCACGACCCGGGCCGATTTTACAACCCGAAGGTTCGGCCTGTCCCGGGCAGGCGCCAGGAACGCCTTGGCCACGTTGACGCGTCTCCCTTTGTCCAGAGTCCCGTAGGCCTTCCCGTAACCCAGGTACTTCCCGGCGTTCAAAGACTCCAGGATGGGAATCCCGAGTTCCCTCGCAGCATCTAGGACGATCTGGTGCATCTTAGATTCCGTGTAATTGTACGAGCGGATATCCAGAAGTCCCCCGGAGCGGCAGTGTTCGCCAGCCGCACCGGTCAGGCCCGGCGGGCAGTTCAGGGACTTTAGGAAGTATGGGAAAACGTCCTGGTAGGACCAACCGGTATTACCTAATTTCGCCCAATTATCGTAATCACGATCATTCCCATAAACGTGGAGCATCGCATTGATGACCGAACTGCCGCCAAGTGCTTTGCCCTTTGACCATCTGCATCTCTTGCCTTTCATCCCCTGACACGCGTTCGCTTGCGGCTCCACTTCGTAGGCGTAGTCCTCCTCGGTCCCTTGGAGTGTCAGTAGCAGCCCTGGTATCTCACTGAGTGCCGAGGGATCCTCTCCAGCCTCTATCAGCAGCACCTTCCACCTTTGGACTTCGGTCAACCTGCTGGCCAGCACGGACCCGGCTGATCCACCTCCCACGATTACGAAGTCATAGCTGGGATCATCCATTCCCAAAAGCTCCTCCGTCCTGTCGGCTGGATATTCGTTTTTCAAATTCAAGGCGCATTGGGCGCTCAAAATTGTATTCAACAGTTGCGCAAACAGCAGACCTCCCGGTCCTCCTATCGCACCTGCGCAGCCTTCCAACTGGCAGCTGCCCATCGCTCCGCTTTCCACGCGATTCTGTTGAGTAAAGCAAAGCATCCTGTGTCACAAATATTCTTCATCTTATGGCGGGTAAAGAGTTTTAAAGAAAAATCAATAAAAGATAGACTTTTTAAATCTTAGAAAAATAATCCAATTTTACGTATCCACGTATGAGTCACGCACGCGAGGCATAAGAGCCCATACTAATAAATTTTCTGTGCTTCTGCATATATGTATCTACTCGTTTGTAGCTACGTTCACGTTACAGGCTTTAATTAATACGATTTCAGTGATACACTGAATGGCCTCTTCAACCGTGAATCCTCGTTGGTCTTCTTTCCGGTCAGCAATTTTTAATCTTACTTTGGTCATCGACTTTTCTCCTAGAAGTCGCGAAGCTGTACGCTGTGTTAAGCCTTTTTTTTTTTGTTTTTTCTTAACAAAAACTCCATTACCCCAGCTTCTTCGTATCTCAAAGATCAGACACAAGAGATTCTGGCTTTCATCGTCTGACAACGCCCGTTTCTTATCTCGCTTCTTAAAGCACCGCAAGGGCTTCCCTTAACCCCTTAAGGCCATTCCACAACGCAACGGCACACGCGGTATTCAGTTGTATATTTGCCTAAACCCATTGAGGATTCTCCAATTAAGAAGGAGAAAATCGTTTTTAAAACCGAGCGTTTACGAGATCTCTACGATTTTGGCTACGTCTCGGACATAGCAACGGCACGGAAGCGGTTGCTAGGGTCGTTACGTAATTCACGGAGCACGAAACGCGATGAGTAGCATGTCCAGTTCCGTGCGCCGTGTAACGGCTTACGTGAAAAACACAATTGGCCCGCCAATATTTCCATACGTGAAATGTCATTATCAGTCAATATATAAATTTTAAAAAAAATGTGTATGCGTTTATTCATATGGACAAGTAAATCATTACTTCATTTCGAAAGTCACGATGACTTTTGTCGTAGAGAAATTTGATTTCTCTAACGATATCGATAATGGCCTCGTCTATACAGTTGGTAATGTTAGTTTATTTGGTACTTAGCCTATTTAACCAGCCTTATTTTTAAAAGCCTTAATGTTATTCTTCGTAAAAATATATTTGAATCTTCGGACACTTGAATTTCCCAATAACAATCCGATTGATTCATTCCCGACGAATGACGCAGGTTACCTCAATGAACGTTAGTGCCAAATTTTAACTCTCGTTTATTCATGCTTAGCCTTTCCAAAGATCCACGGATAAAAATGATCCAGTCAAAATGACCCAGTTGTCCCGTAAGGTGCGAACTACGTGGTAAAAATCTACATGTATCGTGAAGAGGGCACTAATGGAGTTTTCGAAAGATGCTTACCAGCATTGGAAAACCTCGATTCTGCTCTACTGTTTAGAGACAAGTGGGACGACTTCCCGTATCGTGATAAGCATCTGGACTATATCAATTTTTTGTAATGGGACCTATTTCCGAATTAGTTTGATTGACGTCGTTACAAGTTTAAATTGACAAGCGATAATTTTAACCTAAAATTCACATAATCTAATAACAGCTGTACATTATCACAGCTATCCATATTTTGGAAGATCCACAATAAACTTAAATCATTCAAGTACCTACGTGATGTCGAACCAAGTGAATTTAAATGACTAAATAATGACAGTACCCGAATGCATCTGGAATACTTACTGTTCTATTATTTTAATCACGACTTACCGACTTCCTGGGCTTGGAAAGAAAAGTCGATGATGCCGACGGTGGACCAGATCTAGTCTAACTGGTCGACTCGGTACCTTCGAGATCTTCTCCCTACCACATCACGCGTCATGAGATATGTCTTATGTCTTCGATACTGCAGGCCGCCCTTCCCCCTCCCTCCCTGCCCCCCTCTCTCTTATCTTCGTAGCCGTGTAGACTTTTAGTTTTCTCAGGCACCAGTGGCTATTACTTACCCCAGACTGTAGACCACGACCTTCCTGGGTAGTCTTGTATTATGCGGTATGTAAAACCAGCCACTCTTTTTTTTTTATTACCAACCTAATCAGTTGCAACATTCGAGAAGCACCGTGTATATATAATTTATGCTAATGTATCTTTATGGATAATTGGATACGTAAGAATTTGAAATTGTAATAATGCGGATGAGCTAGTGATAATAGGAAATGGTTAAGAAAAGACTCGAAGAAAGGTTTAGGTGTTGTCGTTGAACGGGGTTAAAATATTCCTTCCTTTCTTTTCATGGCCTAGAACGATTCTGAATGGAGGATGTCAAAGGTTAAAGTGAGCGTGCGTTCGATGTACAATGATAACGCGAGCATAATAGGACTCGCGTCATTATAGATCATAGCGAAGGTGCTAGTTGTTCGAAAGAGCGATACCGCATTTTCGTAAGAAAATTTCTGGCATTTTATTTAATCGGATTTATAAAAGTTACTCCAGTCTTATTACGTTACTCGTAGTTCCACGCGTCGTGAATCAGGTCCGCGGCCTTTTCCGCGACCATAATGATGGCCGCCACGGGATTAGAATTCGGGACTATAGGAAATATCGAAGCATCAGCCACGCGAACGTTCGTTACACCGTGAACTCGTAGCTGCGGATCTACGACTGCGCTCGGGTCACCCACTGGTCCCATCTTACAAGTGCCAGACTGATGATTCTCGGGGCCCGTTTGGACCCGGATCAGACATTCCCAATAAGCATCAGTCCCAAAGTGATATCTAAAATTAGTCGAGATTAGATAAGTTTTAATTCCAATGTGGGCAATACCGTGGGAACTAACCCGAGACACCATGGATGAGGCTTCGTGTCCAGTTGCAAGTCCCATTTCTTCATGGCCGTTGTCTGGGTCAGACGTACGACAGCTTTGATGCCCTGGACCAAAATCTTTATATCCTTGTCACTCTGGAAGTAATTTGGATAAAGGAGAGGAGGATCAAGGGGATCCGCAGATCGAAGTTTCATGTATCCGCGAGTCTCGGTGACGACGACGGTGGGCCTTGCCACTATTTCTCTTCTGGTGGGGCAGGCACCAAGGACCCCGTCCGGACACTCGGTAGGAATACCCGTCCTGGGACACTTGGAACTGAAACCGTCGAAGAAGACCTGGAGATCCGGCACTCCCATGGCGGAATAGCTACTCTCTAGAAATGCCGTGACCTGGGTCAGCCCGGTGCTGGCTATGGAGCCAGTCCTGTTCTCCAGAAACTCGTTCACGGAGTCCAAGGTGAAGGTCTCGTAGGGCGTGTCGTTGATGCTCATCCGGATCCCAACGGACACGTGATTGTGAAGATTCCCACCTACGGGAAGGTCCTTTATAGTTCTGATCCCGACTTTGGTTAAATGTTCCTTGGGCCCTACTCCCGACTGCATGAGGATCTGCGGGGACCCTATGGCTCCCGCCGTGAGGATGACTTCCTTGTCGCACTTGACAACCCGCTTTCTTCCGGTCTTGTCGATGAACTCAATCCCGTAGGCAACGCTGGTCCACTTGTTCACCAGGACCTTGCTCACGTGGGCATTCGTCAAGACCCGAAGATTCTTCCTGTAGGCTACTGGTCGCAAGTAGAATCTCGACGTGGTTCCACGTAGACCATGCTGGGTCATCATCGGTGCCACCATGAAGCCAGTCTGGTTGTATCCGTTCAGCCACCCGGTCCTGTGACCAAGCTCCTTGGCGGCGCTCAGCAGATCCTCCGAGAAGTCTGGCTTATGTGGGAAGTGGTCGATGTACACGGGACCACCTTCCCTGGTCCTTGCGAACTTGCTACTTCGCACCATTTCCGCACTCTTTGGATTCTCCGCGCGTTCGAAGTAATGCTCTATCTCGTTGTAGGACCAACCGACGTTTCCCATGCGCGCCCACTTGTTGTAAACCTCAGGATGACCTCGGACGTACATCATCCCGTAGAGGCCACCGGTCCCCGACACCATCTTACCTCTTGGCCAGGAACACACCCCGGCGCTCTCTAACGGATCGTTCCATTATTTAAGGGTCTAGTCAAAATGGACACCGGAACTTCATATCTTCCGGAAACATACCCAGACAGGCTGTAGGATGAGGTTGCGTGGGTTCGGTGAGGTACTTCCAGTCCAGTGCCGTGTTGACTGCATTGAACGCGATCCCTGGTAGGGCGGTCATCGTTGGTTCCTCGGGACCAGCTTCCACCAGCAGTACCTTCCACCAGGGATTGTCGCTCAGCCTTCTAGCCAGAACCGGTCCTGCCACCCCAGCGCCGACGATTATGAAGTCGTACCTATTTTTAATCGGAGCAACAGTCACTTCTCAATTTCATACATCATCGTCTTCACGCGATACTCACCACTCGCCTTCTGGCAGCTCATTCCTGCCCAGTCGACGACAAGGATCGGAAATGTCGCACCTCGCCATCATCAGGCTCTGAACCAGCATCATGAAGGCCGGCAAACTGCCACACGCTGTTCCCATGTACGACGTGTCTTCGAACTTACATTGGCAGCATCCTGAACTGCCGAAACTGCTGAAAGGATCCGCCATCACGTCGCTCGACTCTATCGGCTGCGAACAAATTATAGATTGATGATTATTTCGAAATGTCATCTTAATTGCCGACTGGCGGTGCACGCACGATAAATGATAATAATAATAGTATTTTGAAAAAAAAAGACCTTCGTTTCGCTCTTAAGTGGCACACAATCGAATTTTCTGTCGCATTAGAAACGTCTTAACGAAGAACACCGGAAAGGGAAAGGACGCAATTATACGGATCAACCCGCCTTCCCGTAATTAGCGTAAATCCTATAAAACAATAAAATTACAGCAGAGCCGACTGCGTCCTTAACCTATGCAACAAGTACAAGACACGATGTTGTTAGAACGCAAAAAAAAACATTTTCTTTTTTTTTTTCAAGTATGCTTGACCGAAGGGACTATTTTTCTGAATGACAGTGAAAGTCATCAACTTACTCAACGTCAAATATTTTTTGATTGCCCATCGCAAGACATTTTGACAGTTAATAATTATAATTTGGCATGAGACTCTACCGAGTATCTTGATCTTGGCAGTTATATCGGACTGTTCTGATTGTCGTTCAATTTCACAGTAGTTATCATTAAGGAGTAATGGAAAAAGAAAAGAAAAATACGAACAGATTTTGCTGTCGTGAAATTCATGAAGACTTCGTGCCGAACGAAGAACAAAATGAGGAGCGAAACGAAGATCGAGATGCACCGCACTGTGGATAAGCCGAAGGGAAACGTCGCGCGCTGCCGCCGATTAAATGAGTGCACTTGTCATTAGCCGAGACTTTTTGACAGGTTCGATTTATCCGTAATCGACCTTCGCCCAATTGATAAGTCCCGCATTTTCCGTTTCATCCTCCATTAGCTATTCTGCTTCGCCTTTCACATTTTCGCGGGACTTCCGAATTTACTTTGTTTAATTCGCGCGTCGTTCGTTTGCGATAACCCTTTCGCAAGTTCCGCTCTGGTGACCCGAATCGCCGAACCGATCGTCACGTATTGCGTTGCACTGGCGTTGCAGGCCGTTGCAGGCCGTTTTATAAGACCCAAGGCGACTCCAAGGATTCTCCGAGGATTCTCCGAGGATGGCAATAATTCTTCGATTTTTATTACTTACAAAATTTCACTGGCGCTCGTAACGATTCAGCACGACTAGGAAGCGCACAAAGTTTCGCCACAATCCACACACGAAGAGAACTCTCAGAACCGGCAACTGCACTACTATAGTTAGCCGGATTGGCCAACGGATAAATCATACGAGAAAGGTTATCCTGGCTGTCCAGTCTAAAACGGTCTGGCGAACACAGCACCGCGTCCGCAGGTCTGACGCAGCCTGCACATCGCCCGGTTGCTGCAAAATCAAACTAAAAAATAGCCGGAAAATTGTCGAAGTAACAGCAAGATCCGGGGGGCACTTTAATACGACAGAAATACAGGGAGGTCGCTATATGGTCGATTCACCTGAACAATGGGTTATCAGTGATCTTGAGGATCAATTGGTCGGTCGATCGCGCAATTGGAATTTCGCGGTCTCGAAGGAAAGTAGCAGAGCGTAAAATTGTTTTTTTTTTTTTGTAAAATCTTTGAAAATCACCACTGCAATAGGATGAACAGCTAATAAACACGTTGTGCGTTGGCCACGCTGGTATCCGTAGATTTGGCAACTTCCTGGAAGCCCGTGAATCCTTCAAGATCCTTTTCTAATAGGATACACAGCTTTACGTAATTTCAACCGCGAAATGACGTAAAATGCATAAAACGCCCGTTGCTCTCGTCCCGAAGAATTGTTCGGGCTGGCCATCGTTGTTTCGTATTAACAGGAATTTGTGAGAAGCCAATCAAATCGACGTTCTGCTTTCACCGACGTAAATACTTTTTAATAATGATTATTTTTCTCTCATCCTTATATTAAAGGATGATGTCCATTGTTTTTCTACGGTATATTTCCATAATCACGTATCAATTCGTCAATCATTTTTTTCTTTTTCATTAACGCCCAAAAGAAATCCTTCCGCGAGAGAAAACGTCCATTGCCAGGACTTTTATGGGAATCGAGGAAACTTCGATTTAGAATCTTTTTCTTTTCGTATTTTTTTTTTTCTTTCTTTTTTTCCTTTCATTTGAAATTCCTCTGTTTCTTGCTAATTTCTCTATCCTCGCCGTTGCCGCTGATTCCGGCCACGAGAACGCGCGAACTTTGAAGTTTTCGCTATTTTGTATAATTATTTATTCCCGTCGTATTTGCCTTTTGCGCTGGCACGAGCAATTCCTATTATATGCTAACCTAACCTAACTAATTGACAAGTGTTCTGTACTCACCGGTAAAGGTACGGTACGCATGAGATTTGCGCAATATAGCAATAAAGTAATAATGTCCAAAGAAGCTGGAAGTCGCAGCTGCACCTTGGACAATTGGCCGGAACGAATCAGAGCAACCTGCCGCTGTGCGTGATGAAACGCTTGTTATTAATCTTTCCTACTAATTTGACGCGATGTTTAAATAATCTCCCTACCGTGCTTGTCTGAATGAATGCTTTTTATAAGCGCACCGATACTTGGCGGACGTGACTAATTTGGCTACTGCTAGGCACACGAGTTGAGCGTAACGCGTGGTCGTATTTGGTTATATATTAATCTTAAGCAAGGAATATCGCACACAACTTTTTGTTCGTGTGAGTATTTTTAATGACATATCAAATTAAAGAAGTCGTATGTAGACGCTGCTTAAATTCTGGTTAAATTAGTCAACGATTATTCAGAAATTCGTATATGTATTCCTTGTACACTCCGTACTGCAAAGACGCGATTTTCCGCATGAGCCATTGTTCGGAGAAGAAGAAAATTCTTTTCGTTTCGTGCACATAAAACTGCGAGGGATCTTTTGTCTTACGAAAAAAAAAAAAAAAAAAAAAAAAAAAAAAAAAAATATTTCTCGAAAATGTCCAGGAAGATGGATAACTTTTTTTTTTTTACTTTTCTTTTTTTTACAAAAATCTAATACTTCTAATCGTTCGCGAGAACGTGAATTCTTGTACGATTAACGAAAAAAAGATTTTGTCGATATAATCGACGGGCGTCATGGTTGTTTGCTAATTCCCCCGAAGCACGTGCGATCACGAAAATAAAGCCGTAATAAATTCGACGGGGTTTTTTTGAACCGAGACAAGAATCAAGAGAAGCAAAGCAGCCACTCGTTTTACCCCTTACGAGGAATCTTAGAAAATAATAAGAAACGGATAGTCTGAAAAGGTTACCTGAAGCTGGCACAGCGGGAAGAAATGTCCGAGTAAACCCAGAGACGCGGCTTAAACGTGGACGAGACGCATCGCACAGACATTCGAAATTCCGAAGGCTTCGACCTCCGTTCGTCTGGCACGCGCAGCGGACGAACTGTGAGCCGAAGGAGACGCGGGCGGACAGACGGAGGGCAGAGCCGACCTCTCGGATAGCCAAGCAGTCAGCCAGCCAGACAAAGACATAACGGAGACTCAAGGAACTGCGGCAACGCACGGCCGAGACATCCCGACTCTCGTTTCAGTAGATTCATTCATTTTTCAAAGGCGTCCAGCACGCACGGCTGCCAGGCCGAGCGAGCGATCGTCGCGCCGCGGTTTTCTTCGCGCGTACTAACTAGTCGACTGGCGGATAATGCTCGAGGATCTTCACGGCTTACGTCACTCTACGTTAAATGCGATAAGCCGAGAAACAGGAGGGAACATCGAAGTACAGATTGGCCCGAGTCGAAAGAGTAGTAAGTCGCTCTGAAGAGCCTCTATTTTATTCTATCGTAACTCTGCCTCTCGGCTCCTCGATGTCGATTCGACCGTTCTGGCCGTTCATCCTCCTTGGTAAACAATGACCAATCGACTTGTGAATTCAATAAGGTAACGGAGAGCAGACCGAGCGCGTCATTTCTGAGTTTAGTGATGTCACGTGTGGAAGTTTCGAAGAATCGAAACGATTACAACTTCCCCCTCGCGTCTCTCGCTCGACGCCTTTTGACTGCTCGGATCGGTAGTTAGATATCGTTTACCTGCCTTAGAAAGCCGGCTCCTCCTATGTATTGCGAAAATCACTTTCGACTTTTGTTTAGAAACTATGGTAGTACATGGATAATTAACGCACCGGATATAGAATAATCGCCACACGAATGTATCGTAGTAGTATACACAGTTTAATTAATCGAATAATTTTTCTAATTACTGTTGAGTTTCATTAATTTAGAAAAAAATAATAATTCGCAATTATTCATTGTTTCAGGTATGTCCGATTTCTACTAAGGCCACAGGAAGCTTTGAAAATTTGTAAAACCCATTAAAATCCGCTTTCGGAATCGACAAGGTAGGTACGTGCTTTCAGCTCGAAGTGAGTCAGTCTGTGTATTTTCGTCGATCGTCATACTTCTCCAGGACTGTTAAGTCTTGAACTTGCATTACGCTCAGCTTGCAGCCATTAAGCAATCTTTAAAATTTCTACAAAAATCACGTTTTTCTTAAAGTTTCCATTAAATTACCTTAAACATAAAAAAATAAAAGAAACACATATGGAGAAAAACAGTCGGTTTTAAGGAATCTAAAGCGTTCAGCCTTCTCATCGGGTTTCTTCAAAGTTCCATTCTCTCTTCGACCGACGCCGATTCTAAACCAAACGAAATATTCGAATTACACTTCGTAAATTATCCTCTGATCCGCCATATACCTTTCACTCGTCATCGTCGACATTCGCATTCGAAATCGCATTCAAAGCTAAAAAATCGAATTAACGATTGAGAAAAATTACAACGATTAACGGTTCCACCTACGCACATCAAAGGCGTCGCGGCGGTTTACATATTCAACATGAACAACAAGAGAAACGGCGTGCCGCTCAAAGTAAACGCTCAGACGCGCAACAATAATGGAAAATTATTATCGTTTCACTATACGAAAAACAGCAGCAGCGCAACTGCACGTGCTCGCGTTTCAAATGCCTGACAGAATCTCAGATTCGGTCCAGAGCATCTTTAAGTATTCGCCGTCGCAAATCCAGCTACGCTCTGCATTCAATCGGGATTTCAGATTTCAGATTCACTTTAGATTCTCGCAAGGGAAAATATTAAGGTTTTTTAGTAACGAAGCTCAAGATCTAGCAAGGAGATGCGTTATTAATTAATTCATTAGGAACTTGAAAGAAATAATTTATGAACTTTTTGTAATCGAGATTCCTTCGTCTCGTGCATTTCCAGACATTCAGGGAACGTCCATCGCCTTGAAAATTCAATCCCGACTATCCGCAGGCTGTGGTGCTCCAAGCCTGAGACATGTCGTAATATTATTATTGTTATGTGATTACGAACCAATGTCTGGAGTCATTACCTCAAATCTCCGACTGGTGACTGAGCACACGACGTTTCAAGAAAACCATCAATATCCCAGCCTTTATAGGTTAAGCATATACTCTCGAAAACCACCTGACTAATCGTCAGCTGTGGTGCAGCCTGACAACTTGCGAAAGTGACAAAAAGACTAAACGTTTAGTCTTTTAACGAACAATCCGATTGTACTCGAGGAGGAATTGCAAGTGACGTAGTGCACTAGAAATGTTACCTTGCCAGCTGATAAGCGAAAATAATGTTATATTGGAAGATTTATACGTATAACTAATGGCACTTGATAACTAGGCAGATCAGGACTCAATAAATTTGTCTTTTTCGATTGACTGCGCACTAATTACATTCTTAAACATCTTCACGAATATATATGTATATGTTCGATGAGATATTTTTGGGATGAACGGTGCTATTTTAAAAATTCAAGACTCGTGTCGTTTAAAGCGAATATTTTGTATCTTTAACGAGAACCAAAGTAACAGTGTATTGCAGTGCTTCTAAAAGTCACTCTCAATCAGTAGAATTTTTAAGAAGTGTAAACGTAAGATAAAATTACGTAACCAGCCATGACAGTAGTAAGGGTGCCCGCTGAAGCGTCTTCGGATCCTGAAATATGTTGACCCAGTAATTTTCTCCAGAAATTCATTCTGTTCTCGTGAAGTGACGTTTTCATGATCAACGACAGATCCGAATTACTTCCAATTCGAAGGTAACTGCCACGTGCATCGTATTTCCACCATCGTTCGGTGCTGCCCCATTCGGGCAGCGTCGGTACCCTGAAATTGAGGAGTTACGAGTGATAAATAGCAAAAAAAAAGTACAATAATGATAAGAAAAAAATATTGGCAAGATCATAATACCCATGTGTGACAAAGGATGCCCAAAGTCCCGTCAACTGTTTCATCATTTTCAAATCCGTCCGACTCATGTTTTTCTTGAGTGCCGCGAAACTCGAATTCGCACGAGGAAATAAGTACATTGAATCGTCGCCATGACAAACGCCCATATCAGTGTCGTTACCCGTTATGTCATAGGATATACTGAATGTGCCTCGATATTCAAACACGTACATGTATCCTGCTTGGCTCCCGCTACGCGCTTGTGTTTCCAGCCATTCGATCGTCGGATAAAAAAAATATATGTCATCAACCATGTAGGTGTAATTTTTTATCACCTTTAACAGAAGATAGTTTTTTCTCATTGAACATTTTTCTATCACTTTTTATTCATAATCAATATACCATAGTGTGATCAATTGTCCAGTCGTTAAAATAATAGTCCATGATAGCTTCGAAGTAACCGGCAGTGTCGTTCCTACCAAGCTGCTCAATATCGTTTTTAATGGTATCGTTCAATCGCAGTACAGTATCCTCCAAGTGCGTTAAGTTAGCGTAGTCGTCTGAAAGCAAAGCCCATGACTTGAGGCTAAGATTACCAAATTGAATAATTACGACGATAGGACCTCGTATCGAAGAATTAAGATACTTATGAGAAAGAAGCCATGATAATGAAATTGAAGGTTTCTGCACTCACACGCAGTCACGAAGAGACCTTCGTCACGTACGTTTCCACATATCCAAGGCAAGTCCCGCATTTTCCCTTGGTTCATCAAGTTCGCCGGACTGTCGGTGACGATGGCTTCGTCGGATTCGGGTTCGTTCGTGGGAGAAAATAATAATCCGGGTGTTGGTTTACTCCATGATGCGAGGGTGGACGCTTTCAGTTTGCGGAGGCATCGGACGATGAGGGTCGAGTTTTCGGTTGGGCAGTCGAAGAATTCGGCAATTTCGTGAGTCGTCTTGGCGGCCAGCGACTTGTCTTGATATCCGTGAAGGCAAGTGGCGGTTCCACTGTGCAAGATCAGCTTGTGGAACAACCCTGTTGTTTCAGGTGACATACGCAAGTAGTTGAGCATGAAAACCTCGCGTTGCAAGTTTACACTTTGGAATTGACTTTCAAGAAAGCGTCTCACCATTTGTCTTGTCTGAGAGTGATAAGAAGTGAGCACATATTGCACCGGCACTCAACCCAATCAAGGTCACTTGGTCAGCATCGCCGCCAAAGGCGCCGATATTTCTCTGGACCCATCGCAGCGCCATCGTCTGATCCTTCAGCCCGTAATTCCCAGGCGACGCTTCGTCTCCGGTGCTCATGAAGCCCAAGGCGCCCAGACGGTAGTTCATTACCACGAGGACCACGTTGTGATCGAGAATATACTGGGAACCGTAGATGTCAGGACTTGCCGAACCGTGGTCGAAATTTCCACCGTAAATTACTACCATTACTGGTAGCAATAGTGAACTCTCTTCCGGGAGCTGTAAATTTCAAAATGCAAAGTATAACAGTTGCAATTATTTTTCATAATGAGAAGCTGGACGGTGATGATGTGATATACCTGCGGTGTATAAACGTTCAGGTAGAGACAGTCTTCGACTCCTGATAATTTTCCTTTCTCAATTTGAGTACAACTTATGCTTCCGTTTTCAGCTCGGTACGTACCGGTCCAGGGTTTTGGAGGCTGAGGTGCCTTAAATCTGTGAAGATGAATTTAAATTGATATTGGCAGCATTCTAGTAGAAATTCCATTATGAATATCAAGGACTCGTCGGAAGTCCTACCTATGTCTGAGCTTGCTCAGGAGGGTCCTGGACAGGGCCTTGTTTTACCAAAGAGAATTTCTATTAGGGCAGTTTTATGCCTTGGAACGTCATAGGATATGTACTTTTATAGGAATTATGGTAATTCAGTTTGATAAATATTTTTAAGGCCGTTTACGGTGTATTTACGGAACGTATGGGACTCACATACCTCAGGCTCCCAGTTGGTGATTGTGCGAACGGGATACCTAAAAAACCAGATACGATTCGGCCATTATTCGTTACTATGTAGATGCCTGTTAAACGGCCTTGATTGATGGTAACTGATGGGTTCGCGTAACAGGAGCATTGCAAAAATAAAATGTATATTGTGATTTTATTCGATAAATTCGACATTGTTCGCCGGTAATAATCGAGACGCCACGTCTGTACGCTGTCAAGTTGAACTATGCTGTGAAAAATTGCCTCCAGTTCCACGCTGACATCAGCGCATATATTACAAATAGTAGATACCGATGTGATACATTGCAGCCTTAAAGGTAGATAATGAAAATTAACTATTGCAACTGTTTGATGGTTAAATCATTTCTTTATTCATGTCCTCAAATACTTGAGATTACCAGTAGAGCACTGTTCAAGAAAGACGAGAAATCGCCAGCAGGTCTTCAGCGACTCTGATCAGAATTGTCATCTTCACTTCAATGTCGCTGAATAAAAGCGAAGCCCACGAGGAAAGTCAGAAAAGGGTGATAACATTGAATGAAGAATTCCAACTTCCGCCGGAAGTGAGTGAACCAATTGGTTCCTCCCAAGAGCCCATTCTGTCCTCAGAAAGTGCAAATTCCACAGCCAGTGAATCGTCTGCTGTATTTCGAATTTGCAAATAATTCGTTTACTCCTCGTATTCAATTCGCCCTTCGGCGTTTTACTTGGCGGTCCTCAATTTGAGTACAACTTATGCTTCCGTTTTCAGCTCGGTACGTACCGGTCCAGGGTTTTGGAGGCTGAGGTGCTTTAAATCTGTGAAGATGAATTTAATTTGATATTGGCAGCATTCTAGTAGAAATTCCATTATGAATATCAAGGACTCGTCGGAAGTCCTACCTATGTCTGAGCTTGCTCAGGAGGGTCCTGGACAGGGCCTTGTTTTACCAAAGAGAATTTCTATTAGGGCAGTTTTATGCCTTGGAACGTCATAGGATATGTACTTTTATAGGAATTATGGTAATTCAGTTTGATAAATATTTTTAAGGCCGTTTACGGTGTATTTACGGAACGTATGGGACTCACATACCTCAGGCTCCCAGTTGGTGATTGTGCGAACGGGATACCTAAAAAACCAGATACGATTCGGCCATTATTCGTTACTATGTAGATGCCTGTTAAACGGCCTTGATTGATGGTAACTGATGGGTTCGCGTAACAGGAGCATTGCAAAAATAAAATGTATATTGTGATTTTATTCGATAAATTCGACATTGTTCGCCGGTAATAATCGAGACGCCACGTCTGTACGCTGTCAAGTTGAACTATGCTGTGAAAAATTGCCTCCAGTTCCACGCTGACATCAGCGCATATATTACAAATAGTAGATACCGATGTGATACATTGCAGCCTTAAAGGTAGATAATGAAAATTAACTATTGCAACTGTTTGATGGTTAAATCATTTCTTTATTCATGTCCTCAAATACTTGAGATTACCAGTAGAGCACTGTTCAAGAAAGACGAGAAATCGCCAGCAGGTCTTCAGCGACTCTGATCAGAATTGTCATCTTCACTTCAATGTCGCTGAATAAAAGCGAAGCCCACGAGGAAAGTCAGAAAAGGGTGATAACATTGAATGAAGAATTCCAACTTCCGCCGGAAGTGAGTGAACCAATTGGTTCCTCCCAAGAGCCCATTCTGTCCTCAGAAAGTGCAAATTCCACAGCCAGTGAATCGTCTGCTGTATTTCGAATTTGCAAATAATTCGTTTACTCCTCGTATTCAATTCGCCCTTCGGCGTTTTACTTGGCGGTCGAAAACGTCCAATAAAGAGAACTGGAGAACTACCGATTTATGGCAAAGGAAGTCCAGAGGCCCGTAACTCTTCTCATCGCCTCCAAATCAGTCTCAGTCCTACTTATAAAAGATGCCGCAGCCTGAGAATATGTAAAAGAACTCATTGCCATGACACGCAGCATGGGAATTGCCTGCGAGTTGGTGCAACGTATCGAACGTGCCTAGATAGTTGAAAAAGTACATACGTGCTGATTGAGTTCCAATAATTTCGGCTGAAGTTTTCGCGATTTTTCACCATTATTTATTCTTGCCACATTTGCCTTTTGCGCTAACATGAACAATTCATACTGTATACATATATATTCAATGAGATATTTTGGGATGAACGGTGCTATTTTAAAAATTCAAGACTCGTGTCGTTTAAAGCGAATATTTTGTATTTTTAAGGAGAGCCAAAGTAACAGTGTATTGCAGTGCTTCTAAAAGTCACTCTCAATCAGTAGAATTTTTAAGAAGTGTAACCGTAAGATAAAATTACGTAACCAGCCATGACAGTAGTAAGGGTGCCCGCTGAAGCGTCTTCGGATCCTGAAATACGTTGACCCAGTAATTTTCTCCAGAAATTCATTCTGTTCTCGTGAAGTGACGTTTTCATGATCAACGACAGATCCGAATTACTCCCAATTCGAAGGTAACTGCCACGTGCATCGTATTTCCACCATCGTTCGGTGCTGCCCCATTCGGGCAGCGTCGGTACCCTGAAATTGAGGAGTTACGAGTGATAAATAGCAAAAAAAAAGTACAATAATGATAAGAAAAAAATATTGACAAGATCATAATACCCATGTGTGACAAAGGATGTCCAAAGTCCCGTCAATTGTTTCATCATTTTCAAATCCGTCCGACTCATGTTTTTCTTGTGTGCCGCGAGACTCGAATTCGCACAAGGAAATAAGTATATTAAATCGTCGCCATGCCACACGCCCATATTTCTCTCGCTACCCGTCTTCTCATAGGATGAACTGAATGTGCCTCGATATTCAAACACGTACATGTATCCTGCTTGGTTCCCGCTACGCGCTTGTGTTTCCAGCCATTCGATCGTCGGATAAAAAAAACTTAAATCACCAAACATGTCCGTGTAATTTTTTATCACCTTTAACAGAAGATAGTTTTTTCTCATTGAACATTTTTCTATTACTTTTTATTCATAATCGATATACCGTAGCATGATCGACGGTCCAGTCATTAAAATAGTAAGCCGTGACAGCTTCGAATAAATCGGCAGTGTCGTTCCTACCAAGCTGCTCAATATCCTTTTTAATGGTATCGTTCAATCGCGATACAGACTCCTCGAACTTGGTTAAGTTAGTGTACTCCACTGAAAGCAAAGCTCATAAATTGATGCTAAGATCGCCAAATTCAAAAATTACGCCTATAGGAATTATATATAGAATTATTTATGAGAATGAAGCCATGATAATGAAATTAAACTTTTCTGCACTCACGCGACATCTTGAAGGCACCTTCGTCACGTACGTTTCCACATATCCAAGGCAAATCCCGCATTTTCCCTTGGTTCATCAAGTTCGCCGGACTGTCGGTGACGATGGCTTCGTCGGATTCGGGTTCGTTCGTGGGAAAAAATAATATTCCGAGGTATAACATCTTCCATGATGCGAGGGTGGACGCTTTCAGTTTGCGGAGGCATCGGACGATGAGGGTCGAGTTTTCGGTTGGGCAGTCGAAGAATTCGGCAATTTCGTGAGTCGTCTTGGCGGCCAGCGACTTGTCTCGATATCCGTGAAGGCAAGTGGCGGTTCCACTGTGCAAGATCAGCTTGTGGAACAACCCTGTTGTTCCAGGTGACATACGCAAGTAGTTCAGCATGAAAACCTCGCGTTGCAAGTTTACACTTTGGAATTGACTTTCAAGAAAGCGTCTCACCATTTGTCTTGTCTGAGAGTGATAAGAGGTGAGCAGATGTTGCACCAGAACTTGACTTGTCTCGATATCCGTGAAGGCAAGTGGCGGTGCCACTGTGCAAGATCAGCTTGTGGAACAACCCTGTTGTTTCAGGTGACATACGCAAGTAGTTGAGCATGAAAACCTCGCTTTACAAGTTCACACTTTGGAATTGACTTTCAAGAAAGCGTCTCACCTTTTGTCTTGTCTGAGAGTGATAAGAGGTGAGCAGATGTTGCACCAGAACTGAACCCAATCAAGGTCACTTGGTCAGCATCGCCGCCAAAGGCGCCGATGTTCCTCTGGACCCATCGCAGCGCCATCGTCTGATCCTTCAGCCCGTAATTCCCAGGCGAGAAAGACGAGAAATCGCCAGCAGGTCTTCAGCGACTCTGATCAGAATTGTCATCTTCACTTCAATGTCGCTGAATAAAAGCGAAGCCCACGAGGAAAGTCAGAAAAGGGTGATAACATTGAATGAAGAATTCCAACTTCCGCCGGAAGTGAGTGAACCAATTGGTTCCTCCCAAGAGCCCATTCTGTCCTCAGAAAGTGCAAATTCCACAGCCAGTGAATCGTCTGCTGTATTTCCAATTTGCAAATAATTCGTTTACTCCTCGTATTCAATTCGCCCTTCGGCGTTTTACTTGGCGGTCGAAAACGTCCAATAAAGAGAACTGGAGAACTACCGATTTATGGCAAAGGAAGTCCAGAGGCCCGTAACTCTTCTCATCGCCTCCAAATCAGTCTCAGTCCTACTTATAAAAGATGCCGCAGCCTGAGAATATGTAAAAGAACTCATTGCCATGACACGCAGCATGGGAATTGCCTGCGAGTTGGTGCAACGTATCGAACGTGCCTAGATAGTTGAAAAAGTACATACGTGCTGATTGAGTTCCAATAATTTCGGCTGAAGTTTTCGCGATTTTTCACCATTATTTATTCTTGCCACATTTGCCTTTTGCGCTAACATGAACAATTCATACTGTATACATATATATTCAATGAGATATTTTGGGATGAACGGTGCTATTTTAAAAATTCAAGACTCGTGTCGTTTAAAGCGAATATTTTGTATCTTTAACGAGAACCAAAGTAACAGTGTATTGCAGTGCTTTTAAAAGTCACTCTCAATCAGTAGAATTTTTAAGAAGTGTAAACGTAAGATAAAATCACGTAACCAGCCATGACAGTAGTAAGGGTGCCCGCTGAAGCGTCTTCGGATCCTGAAATACGTTGACCCAGTAATTTTCTCCAGAAATTCATTCTGTTCTCGTGAAGTGACGTTTTCATGATCAACGACAGATCCGAATTACTCCCAATTCGAAGGTAACTGCCACGTGCATCGTATTTCCACCATCGTTCGGTGCTGCCCCATTCGGGCAGCGTCGGTACCCTGAAATTGAGGAGTTACGAGTGATAAATAGCAAAAAAAAAGTACAATAATGATAAGAAAAAAATATTGGTAAGATCATAATACCCATGTGTGACAAAGGATGTCCAAAGTCCCGTCAATTGTTTCATCATTTTCAAATCCGTCCGACTCATGTTTTTCTTGAGTGCCGCGAAACTCGAATTCGCACGAGGAAATAAGTACATTAAATCGTCGCCATGCCACACGCCCATATTTCTCTCGCTACCCGTCTTCTCATAGGATGAACTGAATGTGCCTCGATATTCAAACACGTACATGTATCCTGCTTGGTTCCCGACACGCGCTTGTGTTTCCAGCAATTCGATCGTCGGATAAAAAAAACTTAAATCACCAACCATGTCCGTGTAATTTTTTATCACCTTTAACAGAAGATAGTTTTTTCTCATTGAACATTTTTCTATTACTTTTTATTCATAATCGATATACCGTAGCATGATCGACGGTCCAGTCATTAAAATAGTAAGCCGTGACAGCTTCGAATAAATCGGCAGTGTCGTTCCTACCAAGCTGCTCAATATCGTTTTTAATGGTATCGTTCAATCGCGATACAGACTCCTCGAACTTGGTTAAGTTAGTGTACTCCACTGAAAGCAAAGCTCATAAATTGATGCTAAGATCGCCAAATTCAAAAATTACGCCTATAGGAATTATATATAGAATTATTTATGAGAATGAAGCCATGATAATGAAATTAAACTTTTCTGCACTCACGCGACATCTCGAAGGCACCTTCGTCACGTACGTTTCCACATATCCAAGGCAAGTCCCGCATTTTCCCTTGGTTCATCAAGTTCGCCGGACTGTCGGTGACGATGGCTTCGTCGGATTCGGGTTCGTTCGTGGGAGAAAATAATATTCCGAGGGATAACATCTTCCAGGATCGGAGGGTGGACGCTTTCAGTTTGCGGAGGCATCGGACGATGAGGGTCGAGTTTTCGGTTGGGCAGTCGAAGAATTCGGCAATTTCGTGAGTCGTCTTGGCGGCCAGCGACTTGTCTCGATATCCGTGAAGGCAAGTGGCGGTTCCACTGTGCAAGATCAGCTTGTGGAACAACCCTGTTGTTCCAGGTGACATACGCAAGTAGTTCAGCATGAAAACCTCGCGTTGCAAGTTTACACTTTGGAATTGACTTTCAAGAAAGCGTCTCACCATTTGTCTTGTCTGAGAGTGATAAGAGGTGAGCAGATGTTGCACCAGAACTGAACCCAATCAAGGTCACTTGGTCAGCATCGCCGCCAAAGGCGCCGATATTTCTCTGGACCCATCGCAGCGCCATCGTCTGATCCTTCAGCCCGTAATTCCCAGGCGACGCTTCGTCTCCGGTGCTCATGAAGCCAAAGACGCCCAGACGGTAGTTCATTGTCACGAGGACCACGTTGTGATCGAGAATATACTGGGGACCGTAGAAATCAGGACTTGCCGAACCGTTTTTGAAATTTCCACCGTAAATTGCTGCCATTACTGGTAGCAATACTGAGCTATCTTCCGGGAGCTGTAAATTTCAAAATGCAAAGTATAACAGTTGCAATTATTTTTCATAATGAGCAGCTGGACGGTGATGATGTGATATACCTGCGGTGTATAAACGTTCAGGTAGAGACAGTCTTCGACTCCTACAATTTTCTCATTTTGAATTTGAATGCAACTTATGCTTCCGTTTTCAGCTCGGTAAGTACCGGTCCAGGGTTTTGGAGGCTGAGGTGCCTTAAATCTGTGAAGATGAATTTAAATTGACATTGACGCCATTCTAGTTGAAATTCCATCATGAAAATCGAGGACTCGAACTTTAGACCATGTTCAAGGAACGTAGGACGTACGTACCTCAGGTTCCCAATTGGTGGTTCTGCGTACGGGATACCTAAAAAACTGTACACAATTCGATCATTATGCGTCACTGTGTAGATACCTGCTAAACGGCCTTGATAGATGGTAACAGATGGATTCGCGTAACAGCAGCATTGTAAAAATGATAAGTATGTCGTAATTTTTATTGATAATCTCAACATTCTTTACTGGATTGGAAAACACGTCTGTGCACCGTCAACTTGAATCGCACTGTAAATAAATTGTATTCAGTGTCACACTGACTCTGCCGCATATATTACAAACAGTAGATACTGACCACTAGCTGTTGCAAATATTGAACGGATAAATCGTTTCTTTATTCATGTCCTCTGATACGTAATATTATCAGTGAGTGGACGACTGTTCGAAAAGGCGTATTAGCATTGGCACAATAATATTGCTTCGACAAGAAATTCTCAGCAGATCGTACACGACTCCGATCACACAGCAGAGAACGCGGACTCAACCTCAACGTCCTCCTTATTTCAATGTCGTTGAATAAAAGCGAAACCTATGAAGAATAAGACTGATGACATTAAACGACGAATACGAACTTCCGTCGGAAATGAGTGAACCAGCGGGTCACTCCCAAAGGCGAATTCTGACCTCGAAAAGTGCAGATTCCATAACTAATGAATCCTCCGCTGTATTTTGAATCTCGCAAATAATTCGTGTTCTCCTCGCATTACTCCGCAGCAGTGAGTCTCGGCAATCTGAAAGTGATTGAAGTTCGTCGATCAATGGAAAGTCAGTAAGTCGACATGGTAAAGCATGATATTAAATTGAACTGGAGAATTAGCGATTTACGTCAAAGGAAGTCCAGAGGCCCGTAATTCTGTTCATCGTCCTGAAATCAGTCTCGGTCCCGTTTGCATAGGATGGCACGTACGTCGGAATAGAACATGAAAAAATGCAAAAGAGCTAATCGCCATGAGGCGCGCTACAGGGAGCATGGCATTGCCTGTGGGCCGATCGATAATCGGACAAGTAAATATGTGCTGATCAAGTCCCAGTCCTCTTGGCAACTCAGGCCTAGAGATCGGGTGGTTCAGTCTCGCGTTTCAGTAACCTACCGAAAGCCACAAGGCACTCAGTTATTATCATTTATATTGTTTACAGGCACTACGTGTGTATTTTATATAAAAAATGTATGGGTTGCACATGGCAATGCATGTATTTTTATATTAAATATATAGATTGTATATGCCAATTTATATTTTATATAAAATTTTCACCTGGGGTCCTTCTCCTCGTACATAGGCGAATGCCAAAACTTTTATTAAACTAAATTATTTACAATAACCTCGTCCCGAGAGCGGTGAAATATAAAGTGACGCATTACTGCTAGGAGAAGAAAGTTTTTGGTGGACTGTCAGTCGCCGATTTGGAAGCGAACCTAAGGGATTACACAACAGCAATGTTGAATCGATCACTGAAGTTGCTGACGTGTCTCTGCCTCGTCGTCTCCATCTGCCATGGACAACCGTCGGTGACCATCACCCAGGGTGCATTGGAAGGTGTTGACATAACGACTCTAGGTGGTCGAACGATATCTGGTTTTCTTGGAATTCCTTACGGACGACCGCCCGTTGGCAGACTGAGGTAAGTGCACTTCTGAGATCCAAAAATATGAGTCTCATGGGATGGACCAGTTGTCGTCGGTCAGTTAAGACGCGCCGACTGAAGTCAGGTCCTCCGGCTGACTCCCACGGCAGAGCCAACTTCAGTTGGTGCTTTTGAACTGAAGAGACTGTAAATTCTTTTAGATTCAAAGCACCTCAACCTGCATTGCCATGGAATGGCACGTACAGTGCAACGAATGGGACCATCCGGTGCACTCAGGTTTTAGACGGGCCCATCAAGGGAAGGGAGGATTGCCTCTACTTGAATGTGTACACGCCACAGGTATTTCTTGCAGCCGCGCTTTGCGAATGCGGCCTGAAAGCTAAAGAGCAAATGCATTGGATTTATTTAGTTACCAAGCAACTCCACGGCTTCGCTACCCGTTATGGTGTATATCTTCGGCGGAGGCTTCGTAGTAGGAGCAGCCAGGATTGATCTTTACGGTCCAAACTTTATCATGGACCACGACGTGGTGCTCGTGACCATCAATTACCGTTTGGGGCCTTTGGGATTTATGACGACTGGCGACAAGGAGGCACCAGGCAACTTTGGACTGAAGGATCAAATCCTGGCTTTGCGCTGGGTGCAAAGTAACATTGGAGCTTTCGGCGGGGACCCTAACCAGGTGACCCTGTTCGGTAACAGCGCTGGCGCGACATTCACTCACGTGCTAACCCTTTCGGATCAGACAGAAGGTAGGTCAAGTTCCATTGACATGAAATTAGTGACGAGCGAGCAAATAGACGTTTACCCGTCAACCTGCAATCGAGTCAATGATCGATCTTATCCTGCAAAACTCAGGACTCTTTCACAAGTTCATCCTCGAAAGTGGAAGCGCCACGAGCATTTGGGCATTTCGGGATAGTTCTGAAGCTTACCAGATAACCATGGACCTCGCTGAGAGTCTGAACTGTTCAACCGCCACTACCAGGACGGTAGTCCGGTGTCTCAGGAACCGGAGCGCGGAATCCATCATGTCCTACTCCGCAAATGTCAGTGGGTACGCCTTCATTCCGACCAACGAGTCAGTGAGTCTCGCGCCCGTTATCACCGACAGCCCCAGGAACCTAGTAAAGCAGGGGAAAATGCGGAAACTTCCGTGGATGTGCGGAATCACCAGCGACGAGGGTCTCCTGTTTTCATCCTGTCAGTTCAAAAGACTCTCAGTTTATCAAGCGTCGACTATTTTCTGTCGCATACTCCGGCGTATTTACCAAAACTTTTATTTCAGATTACATTGATGATCAATCGCAGTGGGACAACGTTTTGGCCGCTATAAACTCAAGTGTCGATTCCGTGACGGACTTGCTTAGAGGTGGTGGCCGTCGCACGGAATATCTCAATGCCATTAGGACAAATTACTTCAACAATTTAAATGCCGACAAGAGCGTGGTACGAGACAACGAACTATATTTTCGGCGTGACTTAAATTTATATTCGAAATTCTTACCCGTACGACAATGATGCATCTGTGCCTCACGATTTTCAGATACTTCAAAATTATACTGATTTAATGAGCGACAGCTACTTTGTTTATCCCCTTGTGGATTTACTGAAGACACAGCAAGGAACGGGCAGTCCGGCACCGTACGTCTACGTATACGACTACACAGGCACCTACTCTCTGACCTTCAGGGCCACGGGCAATGCGACGGTGCTGGGCGCGTGCCATGGCGATGAGAACTTTTACTTGTTCTCCCGTTCCGATCCGACGTACGTGCCACCCGGTAGAAACATGACTGCGACTGACTTGGAGATGGTGAGACGACTGACGGGGCTTTGGACCTCCTTTGCCATTAACGGGTAATTTTTCTTTTCTACTTGTCAAATGTCTTCCGCGCCAAATATTGACTTTCCATTGGTCGACGATCTTAAATCGTTTTCAGAACGCCGGCACTGGCCGATCAGAAAGACGCCGAAGACGTCGACGAGTGGGTGCCGTACGACGAGGAGAACAGGAATTATTTGCGCATTGGAAATAAAAAGAACGTTTCATTGGTTCTGGAGTCTGGACTTTTTGAGAACCGAGTGCGCTTTTGGACGGATCTAATTGGCTCGTTCATTTCCAATGGAGCTTAAAGTTCCTCGTCCTCGATGTCACCGCTCTTAATGTGACTATTCGAAACTCGAATAAAAATAATTGAATGAAATTCCATGTTAGCCTAAGTTACTCTGAACCCTTCGAGTGCATTTTAATCCGAAAATTTACCTGAAATCCTAAATTTCCTTAATAAACCGTCGTCCCGTCATCTGATTAACGGGATATGCTTTATAACGATTTTAAAGAGTATCAAAGTCCAGTGCGAGTCTCTTAAAATCGCAATGAAAATGAGTGAGCGTTAATAAAAAACAGAGCCATACGTAGCAATGGCTTTAATAATTTATTGATATCTTTATGTGAACGTTGACATGTACATGGATTGCGCAATGAGCGTAACGAAGAATGAAGATGCAATGACATATTTACAAATATATAATTTATCACGTACGTTGACCAATCGCGTCGACTCGATGAAAATGATTGAATCGCGTGTGCTAAATTATTTTTCTGTTATTAGTCTTTCGATGTATCGTAATGGGCGAAAGTTGCGTCATTGAAGTATCACGATATCGAAGTCTCAGTCAAAACAACTGTCAGTGTCGTCGAGTCGTAAAGGTGGCAGAGGCATTTTTCAGAGTAAAAAAATAAACAATTGTGAATTGTGCCACAACTTTAGTGTCGCTCGTCGATCAGACATTCTGCCTCGGTCTCGCTGGTTCGTAATTGTCGGAGCCAACAGCTTTGCTTCCGTTGATACCAATTTCATGCACTTTGAAGAAACGGCAGCACTGTCGTCAAGTTTTCCCAATTCTCATGGATCTTCGAGTGCGATTTCGACACAGCTGCCTTATCGGAGATTATTTTGATCTTGAGCCAAGATTGCACGTGATCGTCGTTCTTATTCGACGGTCCTGTCCTCTTGAGCTCCTCCAGTTGCTGGTGCACTATGTCGACCTCCTTCTGCCACTGTTCGCGAACGTCGTCCTGCTCGCAGGACTCCCTAATCTTTCCCTGGAGGTCCTTATCCTTACACGACGCTCCGTCCAGCATGTTATCGCTAAACTGTACAGTTTGCACTTGGCGAACACGAGCCGCTTTCGATCTTTGAGCTTTGGAGAGTTTTGGATCCTCCAAAAAGTAACGAGAGGGCACGTTGTTGTTGTTGTCCTTGCTCAAAACTTTCCAATCCTCCTTGATCATATCTGCACCCTTCTCCGCAATCATGATCGTCGGTGCGTTCGTGTTCCCCGTGACTATGCAGGGCATGATCGATGCGTCTATCACGCGCAGTCCCGATATCCCGTGAACTCTGAGCCGGGGGTCAACGACCGCCATTGGATCCGAGCGGGGGCCCATTTTGCAGGTGCTCGTCGGATGATATATTGTCATTGTGTAATATCGCGCATAGCAGCGCCAATAATCGTCGGACAGGAAGCGGAACATTGAACATTCGGGGATGACGTTGGAGTTGGGTCGAGCATTCAGCGTCTTCATCGTCGGGGTCTGACTCATGTTTTGAATGAATTTGGCCCCTTCGATCTAAAACCAAAATGTCTGGGTTAATTCGAACTGAAAATGGAATTCGCGAATTATTATCATTATCATACTTGCCAGAACATCGAGATCGCGAGGATCGTCGAAGTAATTGGGCACGATAACGGGATGCTGCTTTGGATCGGAATTCTTGAGCTTTATGTAGCCTCGGCTGCGAGGTCGCATCAGTAACGGCATCACGGAATAAGTGTCCTTGTACAATATTTCTTCGAAAACGCTCGCGAAGAACTCGTCCTTCAGGCCGCAATCCCTCTTGCCGAAGAGGCCGCCGTCGGTGTTATCGGCCGACGAGGCCAGAAACAGTTGAACGTCGGGATAGTCCAGCGTGGCGTCGGCGTACCTGAAAATCCCTCGTGAAATTGCGCACCCGACACGAGGTCCTTCCTCCAGCCCTTTCGAACCACTGAAAGAGTCGACTTACTTCGTGTTGACAAAACCCATAGCCTCGCACTCAGGCACAGTGTAAAGCGGTCCGGTCTTATTGCCAAGGAACTGCTTGATGGTCGCCAGTGTAAGGAATCTTGGCAAAACGAAAGCAAAGCCAGTTGGCTCGGGACATTCGGCTGGTGGATCAATCAGATAAGTGATCCCACCCATGGCGACGTGGTCCTGAAGGTTCATCCCGACTCCGGGACTATGATGAACCAGAGGAACCTCCACTTCGGCCAGATGATCTCTGGGACCGACTCCGGACAGCATGAGGAGCTGAGGCGACTGTATGGCTCCGGCCGATAATACAATCTCGTTCTTGGCGTATACCGTGTGTCTCCTGAGTCCTCGACGGAATTTAACGCCGTAGGCGACCTTACTGTCCTCGTCGATCAGGATCCGTTCGACGATCGTGTGCGTGCTCACGTGGAGGTTCTTCCTCTTGGACGCTGGCCTGAGGAAGGCCTTGGCTGCGCTGCAGCGCAGACCATCCCTTAGGGTCCCATGAGAGTAGGTGAATCCCGTTTGACGTGGTCCATTTACGTCTGTCATCTCGTAGCCCATGTCACGTCCAGCCTTGACAAAGGAATTGGCAATCGGCGTGTGATGCCTGAACCTTTCGACTGTCAGGTGGCCGTTGGTACCGTGATAAGGGGAGTGACGCAACTCGGGGATGGTCATGTTCTCCGATTTCTTGAAGTAAGGCAGAACGCTCTCGTAGTCCCAACCGGGATTCCCCAATTTGGCCCAGTTGTCGTAGTCCAGCCTGTTGCCACGGACGTAGAGCATCGCGTTGAGGACGCTGCTGCCACCTAGGACCTTGCCTCGGGGCCAGTTGCAGCGGTGCTCGTTCATCCCTTGACAGTAGCTCGTGGACGGTTCGGTCTTGAACTGCCAGTCCATTGAGGTCAGCTGGAGAGTCGGAAAGACCAGGGGGACGTCCGACAGGACAGTCTCGTCCCCGCCGGCCTCCAGGAGCAGCACCGACCAATCCTCTCTCTCGGACAATCTGTTGGCTACCACCGAGCCAGCCGATCCACCGCCGATCACGATGAAGTCGTAGCGACTGAGCATTTCCCTGATCGGCACAATTTCCACCCTGTTCTCCCTGTCGATAATGTCTTCCCGCAGCAGCACTATCAGGAATCGTAGGAAGACCAGGAAACCTACTTCGGGACCGTAGGACAGGGCTATTCGCGTTGCTGAGAATGCACCCATCAACGTCATCGTCGATGCGCTTTGTTTACGACGTGTCGGATTTTTAATTTCTACAAAAGGACACTACTGTGCTGACTATCGGCGCTGTCACTCTTGACAACCTCACTGTCACTCGCTTCACCTCCTGTCAACTGACACTGTCGACTCCCTCGACTCCCTCGACTAGATGCGACCGCAGTGATCGCAGTGGCTGCCTGTCGCGACGGACACGGACTACATGTATAAACGCAAAACGGAGTTTCGGCGCAGTCAGCGATTTCACACGTGCGACGCGATGGACGCCAATTTCTGGTATTTGTTATATAAAACCGGCACGAGATACGTTGCTTTGCTCTACCCGTGGCTTACGTGCGACTCTTCGCGTAACGTGACTTATCTCTTTTTTTTGCCGAAATACCGAATTTGCAATTACTTTGACCAAGCGATAACGAATTTACTGTAAGGTGCATTTAGTCTGTACTTATTGTTATTTCAATGAAGCTCCGTGCTTATCTTGCATTGCATCGTGTTGCAATTTATAAGGTACACTCGATCTCTTATCGACGTTGACTGTGGAATTCGTAACCCAAACTTATCTGCTTGAGAAGTAATAATATCTCTGAATACAGAGGCAGGTAAAGTCTTAAAATTATTTGTAAATCGCTATTATAAATTAATGTCAATACGTGTTAATTATAATTTCAGTCAAATAGTTATCTCTAATGGATCATAGGACGTCTTATATTGAATCCGATATAGTTACGTGCAAAAAGTAGTAAATTTATTGTCACGATTTTAAGATGCAATAAATGTAATGCAACACGCTAATAGAGCGCGAGCAGAGCAGAATGAACCGGATGAACCGGATGAGCCCCGGGTGGGAGCAGGGGGTGATCCGTCGAATGATTTCAACAGCCCTTAAATTTCATTGGGTCCTCTCTGTCCTCATTGCTACATGATAATTTATAAGCTGTTCAGATAGGATCCTCCACTTCCGGTATCCGCATTGTGGTATAATTTTTGACGAACAGCATTTTGAAAATATTTGACGAGACAAATATTGCAAATGCGATAATAATAACACAATGGACTTGATACATTTTAACAAATAGCTATATACAAAATTGTAATTAAACTCAGCTGAAATGGTGTTCGTGTGGAAATTTTAAATAAAAAAATCCTAAAATTTTTACATCAATCAGCTGACGTTTCAAAAGTGAAAATAGTCATCGACGCCGTTGACTATTACCGTTGGTCAATGAATGACCAAAACACGTGTTTGGCTAATGCCAATATGTTCTTACGCACATTCCTGGCCTTGAGCTCATAAATACATTCACCATACGCGCGCACTCGCAAAGTTCACAACTGATCGTGAGCATGTATATTGTACACTTACGTTATTCTAAAGTTTAGTAAGAAAAATACTGGAGCTTTCTTTACCTTGTAAGACAGAGGATACAACGATAATGTTATCCACTTTTGATTTACGTTACGAACGTTACTTTACATAGAGAGTCTCTTAATAACTTGGTTTCGTTTATCACACGAATTATAGGCGAGCATTAGAAAAGTTTTCTCGGCATAAATAATATTGCAATAGAGAAACTTTCTCGGGATTTTCACAATTATTTCACTACGAACTACAGTGCTTTCCAATTGAGCCTCGTGCCAGTGATAATGAGCACGCTAACGATTTAAAGAGAGATATCACGAATATCGATTAATTCGTCATTGAGATATCGATCGATCGATTATTACAGTGGTTCGATATTATCGACTAATTACGATTCGGTACTCGTTATCCGTGGAGTACTCGCTGTTTTACCGACAGATCTTCCGCGCGAACTCCATCGAAGTAATACTCAGTAAGGATGTCATCTTGTCGAACAAGACTTATCCTCTGTTCTTTCTCTTGAGCCAAAGTTCTTTTATCAGATCCGATCCCTTTTCCCCGATCATTATCACCGGCGCATTGGTGTTTCCGCTCACCAGATTGGGCATTATGGATGCGTCGATGACACGCAATCCCGTGACACCGTAAACACGCAATTGAGGATCGACCACAGCTTCCGGATCCCAATATGGACCCATCTTGCAGGTTCCCACGGGATGATAAATGGTGGCGGAATAAAACCTAATCATACATTCCCAATAGGCGTCAGTGTACATCTGAATGTGTTTGCATCCCGGAAATTGTATAGGGCTGAGTTCACTTCCGAATCTCTTGAAGGAGGCTGTTCTGCTCAGAGCGATTCCAATTTTGACGCCCTCCACGAGAGTAGCGACGTCCCGAGGATCCTTGAAGTAATTCGGATAGATGAGCGGATGATCGAAAGGATTCTTGCTCCGGAGCTTGATGACTCCCTTGCTCTTAGGCCGGAGAAGCATGGGGATCACGCTCCAGGAGTCCTTGTTATTTATCGGTCCAAAAACGGCGTCGTAGAACCTCTTGGTGAGTCCATGGGCCTTGCGAATCTGCCTGCCGCCGTCAGAATTGGTCGAACCGGATATGAAGTGGAGTTCAATATCCGGGAAGTCGTCCGAGGCGTTTACATACTTCGTGTTCACAAAGGCGAGTCCCTCGACGCCCCCGAGAACCGTGAGGGGTCCGTCGCCGAAAATTGCGTATTGCATAACGGCCGGAACGCTGTGCAATCTATTTTCTACCATGGAGACTTCCTGGTTCACCATGAACGTCAGGCCACCCAGTCCCACGTGATCTTGCAGATTGTGTCCCACCCGAAGGTCCTGGATGACCGGTATGCCGAGCGGAGCAAGATCTTCCTTGGGCCCGATACCGGAAACCATGAGAAGTTGAGGAGAGTTGATGGACCCACCGGAAAGGATCACCTCCTTCTTGGCACGAATGCGATAGATCTTTTCGTCCCGCGAGAATTCGACGCCGTAGGTCCTCCTGGAGGCTGGATCGACCAGGACCCGGGTGACGTGAGCATTCATGGCGATGTGCAGATTCTTCCGGAGTCTAGCTGGCCTGAGGAAGGCCTTGCCCGTCGAGCACCTGCTGCCTCGTCTTATGGTTCCTTGCGCTATCATGAATCCCGAATGATGCTCTCCATTGATGTCTCGATTCGCGTAGCCCATTTCCTGGCCAGCCTGAACGAACGCGGCTGCCAAGGGAGTGTGCCAGGGCGCCTCCTGGACCGTCAGGTATCCTCCGGTCGAATGATAAGGCGTGCGCGCCAGGTACGGATTCAAATTGTCCTCGGATTTTTTAAAGTAATACAAAGCATCCGCAGAACCCCAGCCTGGATTCCCTTGCTGTTCCCAGATGTCGTAGTCCTTCTTGTTACCCCGCAAGTAGAGCATGTAGTTCAGAACGCTACTTCCGCCTATGACTTTTCCCCGCGGCCAGTTGCACCGACCATTTTCCATTGCTGCGAGAGACAACGATTTATCAATGATAATCTTTTTTTTTTAACTATTCCTGCGTAATTGAAAACTTATAGAAATTTTTGGAATTTTTACCTAAACAGGCGTCTCCCTGCGGTTCGGTCTTGTATTTCCAATCAAGCTGACTCAACTGCAGATAACCGGCGAGTAAAGGGACATCAGAAATTTCAGTTTCATCGCCGCCAGCTTCCAACAGTAGCACGTTCCAGTTTTCAATTTCTGATAAACGGCTGGCCACTACGGCACCTACGAGATTATCGATTATCGATTATCAAGAATATATAGAACTGCACGTACTTCGAGTCGATGACTGTATATGCACAAACCTGCTGAACCGGCTCCTACGACTATGAAATCGTAAGCCGGAAGTAAGAGCTCCGATGGCACGTTGATTGGTCGCGATTCCGGATCCATGACTTCATATTGAAAATAAGCAATAGCTGCGGCGAGAACCGGAAAGAAATACGTCAGGCCTCCCGACGCCGAAGTTATCATGCTCGTGACGACACTCTCGACACCCATCTTGGTGATTAACGAAAATCCTTTGGGTCTTACCTACAATCGGGTCAAAGGTTCATGATCCAATCTTAAAGATGACTTTACTATAATTGTAATATGAATTACAACTTTTTGTTCCTCTCGTAGCTTCCCTACTTTACTCACTTTTTTGGCAAAATTTTTCACCTTTTATTCAGGCGCGTCGATTCACAGAGACGAAGTGACGACGGATGTGATTCTTCGCGTCTCACTGAAACTGATTGTACAAAACTGTTGAATGGATCGAAAAAGTTCATTGAAATGTAAATACTTGAAAAAAGTTTGATTTAAAACTTTCTCGGCTGAGACGCGCGCGCGCACATGAGTCAAAGCGTGAATCAACCTTTACCACTGTTCGATCGTTTTCACCGAGATGGTAAGACGGCTCTTGCCGATTGTTCCTGCTGAAGAATCATGTATCGACTGACGCATTTCCAAAGGCTGGCTCGAATGACATTAACGAGTGGAGAAAGCTTTCTACTACCATATCCACTCTCAACGTTAGCCCCCAACCACCATATTCGATTTATGGCCTCATGCGTAGAAAAGCGTCATCGAAAGTTTTACCGGCATCACATGTGCTTGCGAACACGTGTCGATCCAATTTTCCATAAAATATCAAAGATAATCAAAGATAACATGTAACTTTGAAAAAAGAGCCAAACAGTGACAACCGCGAATATCGAATAATTTTATCGCGTACGTAATAATTACGAGTACTTGGTTTTGTTCCTTTTGACATTTTTTTATTGCCCCACCAACGACAACCGTGTCACGTGGTACGCGACAGCTAAGATAATTTGAAGTAGTATGGATTTCTAGAGAAATTCCACAACGACGTATTTCGAAGGTCGTATTTTTTTATGCTAATGGGGTAGGTCATGACTATATTGGTTTTTTAATTTTCTGAAAAAATACGAAAAATTAATGAAATTCAGGCGAAGCAGTCTTCCGTGCCTTCCGTCACGTATTCTGAAGGCACGTGTCGATCCATGCAGATTCGAAGCAACTAAGTTACCGTAATGACGATGCGCGACGAATGACAATGAAGTGCGGAAACTTTCGACGACTATGTAATTCACCATTAACGCAATCCGCGTCGTGAAACTAGAAAGAATTTTCGGGAGCATCGTGGGTGCAGCGACGCGTCAGAAATTTCTGATGAAATTGTATTTTCGGCCGGAATCAATTCTTGCGTAGTTCATTTAGATCCCGAGTCACCGGCACTCGTGCTGGACTCAACGGGCCGTTCGCGTTGATCGGACCCAGCTGGATTTTAATTCGTAACGGGATATCTCTCTCCAAAGGAGTCTTCCACGTGTTACCTAACCTTACACGATTTTCACCCACCGATTTCAGCTCGCAAGTTACGCTTCTGTTTCTGTCGACGCATTCGTTTTCTGCAATTGCATTGAGGATCGGCGACTCCATCGCAGTCACGGCTTTCGATAAAAAAGTAAAGGCGTTTCCGGTCAGCGCGCATTGCAGCGGAATGTAAACGGATTTGAAATCTGGGAAACGAGGGTTGCCGACTCTTCTAGGTTTTCGTGTCACTCGGAGCATCATTTCTATTTCACGAGAAACGTTTGCCCTTCCAATTGGCTCCTATGTAAACGTTTCGTTTAGGCCAAATTCTCGCTAACTATACTGTACTAGGTCAGTTTTAAAGAAACTACTATCGTGTAACGCAACTGGCAGTACCATGTCCGTGCTTTCGAAAAGCGACAGAAACTATTATTAAAGAAAAAGTTGAGTCCAATTTTTGGAACGATAATTTACGTAGATTTCTGCATAATCATTGTGTCGCAGTGATTTTACTTACTGACTACGCGACAGCGAAATTCTCGAACTCTCGAACCTTCTAGAAGCACGGACCATCCCAACTTCCTGTCCCGAAGAACCCACGAAAACGTCAACTTGTTGAGCTTGAAAATATCTGTATGAGAAATAATTCACGTATTTAATTGTCATCGTTAAAAAAAAAAAAGGAATTTTAATGTTATCACAGAACTGACTCAATCAATTTATCAACATTGAATTAATTCAATCAGCACCGGGTGACCAGGTCAAAGGACGGACTTTTTATTTTCTGCTGATTGAATGACGTATAAATAACAAGCGAATGCGACACGTGACACGTGACACTGCTCTAGTACGTACGTCACACGTGGTATGTCTGCGTATCCATTCCAGAAGATATAATGCTGCGGCCGGTATTCATCTTAGCGTTATGTTATCACAAACGTCGAGTTCATTGACGCACGGAAGAAGCTCAGCCAGCGAGCAGAGCCAAGGCGAAGGACGTCGCGACGCACTGACCGTGGCCTTGCTCCTGGAGCAATACCTACTGCTCCATCCATTGAGATCAGCAGAGCATAGGAAGTCAGGATTAGGGGAACAGGAGGAACGGGAGGAACGGGAGGAACGGGAGGAACGGGAGTAGTCGGTACGCCGAATCGGGTTCGAGAGCGAAGCAACGTGGCTGCGCCGTATAACGGTTCCGTGGACCCCCCCCCCCCCCCCCCCCC